AGTACATGTTGCGGCCCATTTTTATTTCAGCGCTTCGGCAGGGGTAACCAGCGTCGTCACAGGATTTGGAAACGTAGGTGCGCTTTATCAATTCTTTTTTTTCAGTGAGGTGCTTGAGTTTTTTTTGTTGCTATGCTCCTATTTCGCATCAACCGCAGCCAATACTACGATCCAATAGCGCTAATCAAGCAGCACCAAGTGTGCATTGCCGTAGCGCTCATTGTATAATTTTGGGGTTAGCTATAACCGTCTAAGCCAGTCATGCACAGACAAAAAGCGCTCAGGATCGTGCGGTATTTACTGTGGGCGATAGAATTAGCCGAGGCAAGCAAATGTACAAAGACGACGAACTTTTGGTGCTTCTTGATTTACTGATTTGGATTGTGTGGTCGGCTTCAGTCGAACGTAGAGTGAAACGGGTTAGAGTCTGTCTCGCCATTATGAGCGTATACGCTGTTTTCGTGTGACGGTAGCCGCGTTAAAACTTTCAGCCTTTCCTCTCTGGTAAAGAAAGAAGAGCAGTGGAGCTGTACTGTGCGCTGCCGTCGCTTATAGATGGCGATAGCTGTCCAGAAGGTTGTGTCGAGATTTATTTGTCCACAGACACGAAACTGGGGAAACTAGCCATCAACAGCTCCCCTGTAAGATGACGTAATTGGGTTAGGAGACGAAGAAAAAAACAAAATTATTTAGGCAATACTACAATGAAAAAATAAATAAAGAAATCCTGAACTATTGCTGTAAACTTGATATTTGGGATAGTTGGTAGTCTAACATATTGAGGTATTTAACGCAGAAGGTGTTCTTGTTCTTTGTGCCTTGTGTGCTAAATACCTCAAAATGTTGAACTATTGGCACGATTCCATAGAATTCTGGCGCCTTTCAATCGGAAAACGAAGTTTTTTTTCTCTCCAACTTAGCTACGTCATAAATCAACTTGGCGTAAAAATGCTCTGTTGTGGCAGATCGATTTGGTATTTAGGATAAAAGTTATTTTGAAGATCTGCAGCGAATCGTAAGAAACACTTCGAATAAGCCGCCTTGTTAAGCTTCTATGAATAAAACCACAACCTGGCACATTCCACATAAAGAAACATAGAAGAAAATAAAACTTATATGTTTTTTTCTGCACCATAGAGTAGAAAGGTAAGTGATGTGATTTTGGAGCATTCAATTCACATACGGAGTTCTGTGAGCTCCTGAGTTTCTCGCGACTTCAAGTGCCACGCTCATTTGAACACAATGTTGTTAAAGACAAACAACTTTCCGACAGCCACTTAATATCCGCAAAAAACCGGATTGCGTAGGTTCATCGGAGGTATCAAGAAACTCAATAGCTTTCTGGTTAAAGCTTATCGGCGTCGAACATGGAGGAAGTCGGCCATACTGGCAACAAAATATTGCACGGCAAACCTGTAAAATATAAGGACAGGCTGACGCTACATACTTCCGGTTGGAAATGTCGTACGATATTGGCGACTCCAGCGAAACCGATGACGCGTAGCGGCAACGCCGAGAAGCTCAGAAGGGAAGGTAGTTTCGACTCTGTCGTCTGCTATTGTTGCTTGGTTCCCGTAGGCAGCATAAAAGCAAACATCGTTTTCAGTAAATATTTTTATACTTCCGCCATGTCATTCCTACTTATTGACTAGAAGATGTTTTCTACGATCGCAAAACCCATATGCTTTCATATGTAAAACCGATTTTACGCTGCGGTGAAAGAAATGTATGATGGTCCGCGTGCTGAGCGACGAAAACGACCTCCTGTCCTCCGCCGTTTCGCCTGATCAGCGCCACCTATATTTCTTTGGAATCGCGAATATAGGTGAACTGTCGCGCCATGTTTTTCACTGCGCGGAGGCAATGTTTTCGAGCTGTCCGACGGATAAAAACGAGGTTAGCCATAGTACAGGGCCTTCAACGCTTCTCCGACTGCCGTGTTTAGCGCCCTATCTCCCCTAAACATTAAAGGTGGTTCCGGAATGACAACAAATGACATCACAAAAGGCGGAGTGGCATGCAGTCAGATGTCGCGATTCTGGTCGTTGGTGGCTGTATTGCTGGCAAAAAAGTACGACTAAACGTGAGTGTCGCTGTCCTCGCGGCGTTTCAACTCTTAGCTGCTGAAGCTTTCGTCGACTGTCAAGTTGGAGATCGACTTGCGGCAGAAAAGGCATTTGCCAAACCCACCGCCGCTGTTGCGACGCCGCCAGGATCGCGGCCAGCGACAACATGACAATTGTATCACGTCATCAGGCGGAAATAGAGCCACGCGCCATGCTTCTGTGATTTACTTGTACCAATGAAGAAGCTTCCAATACATCAGACTCAAACTAATAAGGGAAGTGGTGGAAGGTTTTTCCTAATCGTTTTGAAACGACGTACAGAGAACTAAGAGGTTGTTTTGGGAAACCGCTGTGGATTCACAGGATTCATGAAGAGTCTATGAGTTCCGGCCACCCGAAAGGTGATAGGCCTGGTAGACGTTATCTAGAATTTTCTGCTACAATCTAGTCCACGAAGGGAAAATTACGGCTCGTCTGCCTTTCCTGGTTCGGTCGTCATGTGCTGTTTTCCACGAACCAGGCCTTAAACTTCGGGCAGTAAGGTGTCGTCTCTCTCTCTCTCTCTCTCTCCCGTTGCCTTTGCAGTGCTGCACCCAAATAGTGAGATAAAGTATAGGTAAGAGCGAGGGAACACGCAAGCGAGTGAACGTGATGCAAATCACGGCCACTCGAATTTATATACAAAAAGAAATAATAAAGAACTCACCCCGGTAGTAGCACTGAGCGTGCCGGCGAGGAGCGCACGCCGAGAGCACGCTCATGAACAGACGCGGTATAAATATGTTGTACACTGTAAGCAGGGCTGTCATATTGCAGCTCATTGGAGCCGTCACTCTCAGAGCTGCCTTTGATTCTCATACAAAGCTTCGTATTTGCTGCCCTCTGGAATCATACAGTGACAGGCCGCTTTTGCGGACGCAATGTAAGTTCTCATACCGAGTGTGAAGTGAATAGTGTTTGAAGTATTTCACCAGCTAGCCTCATTCCAAGACCCCTTCATGGATATTGGCCTTAGCTTTGGGGAAGTAAAGGGAAACAGAAACAGTAGACCCTCCGAAAGATATATTAAAATTTCTGGGGAATTGTTTTAGCAGCATTTGTATCGCTTTTTTACGATTGCCTTTGAGGAGGGAAAAGAGCAAGGAATAAAACGGTTAGTGATGTTTTAGTTGTTTTCCATACAAGCATGAATCAGCCAAAATTGCATTCTCTTCTTTCTACAAAACGAGAATTGTGACCACAATAGACCATATGCAAAATTGTTCGTACGTCTGGCAACACTCTTTGCGCTGCCATGTCTGTTGTGGTAAGATTCCTCGCTGTTTATCAAATTCGTAGCGTTGTCGGTACCAATCGAGGTCTCGTGATCACCGTCATCGATCCCTAACGACACCTACGAGTTAAGCGTTGCATTGTTCTCAGTGCTTGTTGCGCATGTAGGTGCTCGTTGCCCGCCGGTTGCTGCTTTCTCGCCGCAACCAGCATGGCGGACGTTCAATCCAGCTCGAAAGTTGACTTTGAGTGCCGGCGAAGGTACGAGCGGGGTTGCCGGGGATTTTAAAAGCGCTTTCTTTGCATGAGTGCTTGTGCGAGCGAAGGATTCTTCATAACTACATGTTCGCGCCCTGGCCTTTGTCAGCTCCGAAGCCGGCTGGTGAGACGGAGCATGTTTTTCCACGCCCCCTTAGGTGGCTCTGCGCATTTCACATATGGTCGATTTGCAAATGCCTAATCCTGAAAGTTCTCTGAAAGATGGAGACTGCGTGACATTTATTAGAAGTATATTTGTTAGCTTTGCCATCTTTCGTCTCAGAAGACTTCCAAATAGCGAGTATATAGGGACAGACAAAGGTCAACAGCGACTAAAAAAAGCTGAACTGTCGCTAATGGCTCTTTTTGAGGGCTGTCAACCACTTCAACATTTCGTAGAGACAACCACAACTCGAAAGATCTGCACCGAGTTGATTTAAAACTTTCTATAAAACACCCATGATGATCTTCAAAATGGTTGGTTACAGTGTTTACTGAGGCAAGAGGATATTCCTTTGCTGGATAAACGCCAATCGTATAACTTCTAATTTAGAAAACTAAAAAGCGCAAAAAAAAAACAAAAAACACGGCCGATGAAGACACACACGACACGGATTGGCACCACTCCGTGTTGTATGTGTCTCTTCTTCGTCCGTGACTTTTTGCGTCTTTTAGTCCTCTAAATCACAATGAACCAATTAGCCCAATACAAAGCTAAATTCAACGTATCACTTCTGTTTTGTGCATTTATTTTCTTAAATAATCACTTCAGTTTTGTGCCTCTTTTACTTTCTTAAATCATCTTTCAGACATTGTCGTCCTAGTGCTTAGGTGTATACTTTGTTTCATCGTATGTCCAAGCGCATGAAAAAGCTCTTTTTACTGACGACTTACGAAGAGCAGTGCAAGGTTAGTTCTGAAATTATCGCTCCGCGGCTGATGAGGTTGCGCACATTTCCAATAAGAAAACCGCATGACGAATTTCACACTAGAAAAGCGTGAATAAGGCACGCCGTCGGTTTCTTAGGCTGTCAGAGATCACAGCAGACATACAAACATAGGCACACAAACTAAAATCGCAAGGTCCCGGAGCGTCTGCTGTGCACAATTTGTTCGGCCGCGGAAAGGACACAAACATAGATATGACGGCTGTCGTGACGTTGCGGTTTGAACGTCACTTTACTGGCCTCATCTCCTGATGAGAATTGTTCGCGCTCAAACTATGGGTGATATGAAGTAGAGCACATTCTCCTCCGGTTTATTTTATGGGTTCTAAATTATCTAGTGTCCATAGCATATGGCTCAGGATACCTTATCTCCTCAAAACGTAAATAAATGTATCTTTCTTTTTTTTTTCAGTCGAAAATGTGCACCAGCAAACTGCAGCTCGACCTGTGTTAGATTATGACTCACGGAGAAGTTATCACGCGAACGGACACCGGCTGGAGTGTTGCCCTTCTGTCGGGACTTGTGGCATTCTTGACTTTGGCCAGCTTCCGATCGTCGGGTTACTTGTACGTTGAAATCATGAACGAATTCAGCGTGGACCGTGGCTCAGCATCATGGCCTGTCAGCGTGCTTGGGACACTTATAGATATTGGCGGTAAGTGAGTGAACCGAGAATTTTACCAATATTATGCTCTAGGCATTTTCCCAAGGCTTCTCACAAAGTGACTTAAGCGCTAGACGAGACATCCTCGTAGCGCTTTCATTCATGTGATCAACATGAGATGTCAGAACCGAAGACATTTCCTCATTATATGACTGAAGCGTGCCATTTAGGAATGAGTTGATGTATTGCTGGTGCGCCCTTATATTATTATTACTAATGAGTTTGTTTCTTAAGAAGTAATCATACAACCAAAGAAAACAAGAGCTGTGAAGTTTATTGATTCTTGAAGCACTTGTTACTACCTTGTAAGAAATGAAAGATTTGTTGTGGTCTTTGTTTTTTCAGGTGTCTTGTCAAGCCCACTGACCCGATACTTTTCTGTGTCTACTGTCCTGCTGATAGGCACACTTATAACAACGCTTGGTATGACACTCTCCGCCTTTGCTCCTGGTATTTTGTGGTTAACTATAACTATGGGAATAATTCATGGTAAGTTGAACCGTTTTTGATATAATACCTAGATCTCCAAGCGGCACCTATGCACCTACCAGAACTGAATCATGTGTGATGGATATGTAAATTATGAAATAAATAATTTATGAAAACCATCGAATATGTAAATTACCTTAATCCATCATTATTTTTAATTCTTCGATCCTCAAGATCAAGAGATATTGAACCTCAGGTAATAATAATATGCGGCGCATAACAGCCAGAGATTCTTGCGTGATTACAATGTGCTTGTCTACTCAGCTGATTTTTTTTAAGGCTCCCCGATGCTTCCCCCAAGACACACGCAACGGGTTGGTGGCGTCAGCAAACGAAGACTAAACGAACTAACATTCAAAAGCGGGTGAAAGCAGGTGCAGTGTAGCTTTCGTTCGTCTGCTCTGGCTGTATTTCAGTATTTTTGCAGTTCCCTTAAAACGAGGGTGCGCACGCAATGAGGCTTTATTTACATTCAATTGAAATGAGGAGTATTATCAGTCTTGTACACGTCACTCAAGAAAGTAATATATATAGCAGTTAGACAAAAAAAAAGAACATTAGAGCAGCTCACTTTAGGTCACAGCTGAGCCCTATATTCTGGGAGAGTTTGGCCGATGGGTGGTGCCTATCACCCGTTAAAACAATTGGCGGACTTTACAGTAATAGAAAATGGAGAATTTTGTATTTAGTCACTCTATCTTACGTGCGCAAGTCCAAATGCGCGGTTACCAGTTGTTTTATAAACACATTTATTCTACTCTGACAGCATGTTATGCCTGCAATTGGTCACTATATTTAGGCACTGGCCACCCTTTATTGATCTCCAAAAGCATAGCTTACAAATAAGCTTTATTTTTTTTAGTTCTAAACAAAATTCGAACAAAAATAAATCTGGCGATTGAGCGCAAGGGTTCGCAGCGGCTCTCCTAAAAGGCGCCCTTCACGGCACTGAACTTTCGTGGTGGTCACTTTTGAAACCTAATATTCAGATTGTTCAAAATTCACTTTTCACAAAAGAGGAATACGTTTAAGTTCATATAATGTAAAGAGATCGTAGCAGAAACGTAAGTTTGTGTATCTGACGACGTGTGCAGTGCCAAAACCCTTTCATTACGATGGTGGGTCATAGCATACCTTGTGTGCCTAATCCAGATTTGGTTCGAAATTCGATATCACGAAATGGTGGAGGCAAGGTGCTGCCTCGTGGTTGCCTTACTTCCAGCAATGGTTGCTGGATTGTCGCCATCTTTAAAAGAGTGCCAAATTCTCCTAGTGTAAAGGGCTATGGGTCATAGTAGCTAAATGGAAAACACATGATATACCTTCTTTGCTTGAAGCAGCGTTCGCACTCTTTCGTGCGACACCTACGCAACTTCACACAGAAATTCAATCAAGACTGAACTTTAAGAACGGTGCATACTTGCAAACTGCATGCATCACTAATCTTACATCTGAATATACATTATTTTTTTTGTCACACCTCAGCTTTGCCATTGTTTGCTTTTAGTTATCTCGGCCGCGGGGAGCACCAGAGTAGGGTTGCTTAGAAACATATTTCGATTTTTTAAAGAGATATACTAGTTTAACCTCCTTTGATAAAGCTTGATAAGAAACGTTTTAATATTTGTTGTTTACAAGGTTTAGAGGCTGATGAAACGGAGCAGTTTTCGTACAAACTGTGGCGACAAAGTAGTCGTAAGCTTTAAAAAGTAGGGGAGAGGGTTGAGCAGATGGTAAGGGTTACAAGTAATTTTATTACGTCTAAAAGTGGCTAAAATTTGTTTGTGATTACTTTCAAATAAAAGTTATCAAATATTTACAAGATTACCAAAAACGCAAGCAGTTCCAAGTAATTTGCTTACTTCTAACGAGTACCGCACAAGTCTTGTATCATGAAATATTTTGAAAATATTGTTAGCAAGTTAATGACTACCGGCTCTTCTAAAAAGGAAGATGGCCTTCGACAGGCGACAGATATTCTAATTTTCCTCGTTCTACCAGATGCAAGTCATATGGTATTTTCTCTCCGCCGCATTCTAGCTCAGCCCTCTTTGTTTAATGAGGCATAGTCTGAAATGTAAGACTGACCTACCCGCTGTGTAATGCACAGGTCAACGTACATTTAAATGAAGTGGACCTTTGTTCCCTGGAATGAGAGTAGACAACACGTCGCCATGCTTAGCGACCAGACGTTTAAAGAAAAAAAAATGAAAAACGATGAAAAACGCACTTGTAAGTTAAATTACTTAGAAGGCAAACCGCTGTACGTAAAACTAAAATCTAGCTGTCTTTAATGCAGTTGTCAAACAAGTTCAGAAAACACACATAATTGATAGCCCACATGGATAAAAGCTGAGATAGTTGAGTCATGCTTACGGATATAACTAATTGAACGTATATAGATATATAGAAACACCAGTAAACTCTGGACAATCAACTGTATATTATTAAGAACGTTATTTTCTTCCTCTACTTTGGTTCCCTACACTCCGGTTTGAAATGTTTAAAACGTGGAACTTCTTCATATACCCAATGTATAGTTCCTGCATAAAAATATTTTTTTTCTTTTCGTGTAGCGCGACAGATGGCGCGCTAGTAACCCTGGGGCTTTCCTAATGGCCAGCGCCTCACGTAACTGACGCGCAAGCGTGCCTCTGTTCCTTCGAACGATGTTGGTGTTATAAAACATTGCCATGCATTGGCACTCTCGACAATGACCTAGCAGCTGCCCTTCTGCTGAGATTTTTTCCACTAAAGCTGCATGCCAACGCGTTAGTTCACTGATGCACCGACCAGTTTGTTCTATATAAGATATACCGCATGTTAACAGAATGTTATATAAAACGTCTTTCTCACACATGGACACATGGAGTACTTCGTTTTGTGAGCGGTGCCATACACCTCTCCCTCCTTGTTTGCACCTTGGTTTAATCACGCCACACGGAATCAGCCTTATTCGCCACAGAACACAACACGTGGATGCCTTAAGTTACAGCAGTCTTCTTTCACCTGTGGTAAATGCCGTGGATGTAGAGCACAAACGCTATATATGGTCGAGATTTCTTTTTTGATTGGTCAGTGCCCCCGGGTTTTCGGTTGGTGGTCTTCCAGATATTTTTTTTTTGCTATGTGATACCAATAATCTGTTTGGATATCCAGCGGCCTTTAGTCTAGATAGTTGCGAAAAAGCTTAGTTTAGCCTGGAGGGGCCATAACGCTTTAATGGTAGATGTTATAGCTGTGGTGGATACCCCTCGTTTAAATTTTTTTCATATCCGAAGTCAAATGGGATAAACTCTTTACATGAGCTGTCTTGGTATCTCCGCCATGCTTGTCCATCTTTAAAGCTATCGGGTCCAATGAGGAGCCTGATATTGTCGACGGGAAATCCATATGTGAAACCCAGTCGACGGGAAGCCTATAGGATTGCATACTTTAGGACTGCTGTAGGATGTTTGAAGCATAGGATGACATGCTTTAGGGCTCGCTGGGATGATTGGGAACCTCCGACTGACACAAAATTAGAAAGTCAAACATATTAAATTATCACCTCAGTCTTGAAAACCTTAAGTAGTTTTGGGTGTCAGTACCGCAGGCCGCGACGAACACATCTAATGCATAAACCAATCTTTTGTCACGCCCAAAGCGATCCCCAGTTCAGGCAACCAGAGACATCAGTTTTTCAACTCAGGCTATACATGTTCTTAACAGGAAGCGATATTTGCGTTACCACCAAAACTTAAAGCAGTCGAAGAAGTTGCGCTAGTAAGTCTCGTCACGTACGAAGCTCCAAATAAAGAAATCATCACAAATTATCAATGAAGGAATTAATTCCCTTGCAGATCTTCAGATCCAGGCGCATCCAAAGATAACATTGGCCCTACCGTTTTTTTTTTTTCAAGCTTTTCACCATATTTCTATTAGTGAAACGAGTGAGACACTTCTTTTATTACAATTTATAACTGCCGCAGAATTGGGGCGGACTGGAAATGAGCTTGTACCGCTTGTTCACCTTGTAAATGTGAAAATCTTGCTTTCAGAAACTTAGTCTTACGCGAAGCCCTCTAACCAAAAATCACACGGATCCGCCAACAGGTTGCGCCATTTGTTCAACAAGACGCAGATCTAAACGAGCGTAGAAAAGCTCACGGGAAGTACGACGAGACAACGCGAGCCGAGATCGTCCGTCTTGCGCTACAGCAACGTAACAAAGCAGGCTCAATCAAGATGACAAGGATCCCGGGGTTTCCGTCTGAGTGAGAGCATCGTTCGCTCTATGAGAGATTCGTACCTACTTCAAATCAAAGTCAGCTAGTCTCCTTTTGAGGTGTTGTCGCATGCAACTCTGGAACGAAAGCTGAAGTTGGGCAGTTTGTATAAATAATCACCAGAAACGGGCCGAGTCTATGATGGAAAAAAAGGATCTTAATCGTAGAAAAGCTAAGCTAACTACGAGAATGTTCCAACCGATTTTAGATATCAAGAGTGAGTTTCTACTAGCGAAAAAGTTCGCAAAAAATAAAAGTCCGGAAAACATGGTCATTAACAAAAAAAAAAGTATATTAAGCTAGTGCCGGTAAGTGGCTTAACCCTTGAACAACCAGGATATCAGCAAATCTCCATGGTGGGGTGGTAACAACAGTAGAGAAATTACCGTTTTTGTTACACATGTTCTGGGAGGCGCCGTTTTGACACCCCAGTACACGGTAAAAACAACAAAATGCCATGCAGCGATAGATTTTTCAGAGTTGGGACATCTGGCATTCCTCCAACCACTAGAGCACGGCCGAAACAATGCAGTGGTACATCGACACCATCATAATACTATACGTGTACAAGCAACTAAAGAATCTTGGACTACTCTTGGACGCCAAGGCTCTGTGTATGCTCGGCTTGTTCGTGGCTCATCGAAAGTAGAGAGTTCGATTCTTTACGCGTTCATGCCTGCCGCATGCACAAGCCACCTGCAGCTTCTCTTTTCCCACTTCATTAGCATATGGAAGCCGGATATGAAGATGTTCACATCTTGAAACGCTAATACCACAACTAGTAGGCCGATAAACAAGGAAGAAACACAGGTGAGCTTGACGACTTCATCGATGAAGCCACTGCCTGCTGTGTTGTTGAAGTTTGGCGTTTGCTTCGTAATAAGCCTGACATTGCCCATAGCGCATTTGAGAAATGCGGTATTGCACACGTTTATTCTGCGGTGTAGTTCTAATTCACACTCTCTCACACTCACATGAAACATGCACAACAAATTATGAAAATAAAGTTCGTTATCGAGCATGGTTTTCAAAGTGTCAATTCTTGTCCAAATTATTCGCGTGCCTTTTAATTTCGGAAATTTATTTATTTCTAGAAATTCGTGAACACTATGAGCTCGCGAATATTAAGATATTTCAAAACTTGAATACGCTCACCTGGATTTATCCGTGCTCATAGCCTTGACCTTGCAATTTTCTATTACAATAGGCAATATTTACTTGTTGCTTTTTAAACAAAAGTGAAAGCCAAATATTATTTTTAACCTGTTCATATTACAATTTTCGCCCGAATGTAATAAAAAACTTGAAAATGCTGACTGACATTATTTCAGGAATTGGCTCAGGAACCATAATGACCATGCTCCAAGTGCAGCTGAGTGCCAACTACAAGAGATACAGAGGAATGGCTCATGGAATCATGTATGCCGGAGCCACACTGTCTTCGTTTGTCGTCCCGCCATTGCTACCCCTTTTGCTAAGACACTACGACTTTCGGAGCACACTGCTATTGTTTGGAGGCATCCTGCTTCACACCTTTCCCATAAGTCTTTTTTTGGATATCCAGCAGAAAAACAATCGTGAGTTACAGTGTAAGCAGCAAGGGGCAAAGTGCGACGTGTTACACATTCCCAATAATAAGATGGGTGAGGAGGTTCCAAACAACCATGAAGCGTTAATTGTACATGAAACTTCGACACTGCAAGTTGTTTCAGAACTGCTATGTCTCCCAACTTATTACATTCTGGTCATCTCGTGGCTAGTCAGGTGCTACAACTTTGACATTTTTGTGGCGACGATTGTCGATTTTGCTACTGACAAGGGAGCTTCGAAACCTGACGCGGTCTGTCTGCTCTCCTACATGGCCGTTCCAGACCTTCTCGGCCGCCTCTTTTTGCCCCTTCTTGCAGACCAAGAGTACTTGCGACGAAGCACACTAGTTGCCTGCAACTTTTTCTTCATGGGGATGGCCATCCTGATATTGCCCGATGTGAATTCATATGTTAGTCTGTTGACTGCAACTCTGGCAATTTCCTGTTTCTTGGGAACTGCGGTGGCCATGCACGGCGTTGTGATGGCGGACACTGTCGGCTTGAAAAGGCTGCCGGTGAGCTACGGCTTCACAGGTGCTTTGTGTGGGCCTCTGCTTTTCGCCAAGCCTTTTTTCATTGGTAAGTTAATTGCGTAAATTGTTTTTTTAGGACTATCTGCCAATGGTATTGTTTTTGTTTCTGTTGTGGCATTCTTTCCCTTCGGCCCTATAGTAACAAGTGCGCAGTTTTGTTGTAAAAATAGTTTTTAAAGCATATACGTTGTTAAGTTTACATATCAAACAGTTTAAGATTACCAAGTGCTGGCTGAACTTGGCTTTAATTGCGTTAGAGCAGATTTTACTTTTTGTTTAGGAGGTCAGGGTCTTCGATAGCGTCCCACTCTAAGAAGAAAATATGCATTGCAATGCATTTTTCTAATACATGGTGCATGGAGACGTGTATGCCTGTTTGAATAAATGAAAGTTTTTAAGTCAGTAATGGCATATCTGGGAAGACTACTAACCACAACATCTTATATGACGTATACTATATCAGAATAAAATAAAAACAACAAACAATTATAAATTCAAAGGAAGTAGAACGTGCACATTCTTCAATACAATAGACAGGAATTAAAACGAACTTAAGAAGGCTTTGATTTGATGGCCACAGATGGCAGTGTTTAATTGAAACACTCAGTGAGTAGCGATATAAGCTGGAATGCGGGAGCGGTGATCACGCAGTACAGCCCACGCAGTCTAGCGGTCCGCGTGCTCAGCGGCGGAGCGGCAGCGGTGGTCTTCATATTCGTGGACCCATCCTCCGCGCGCGATACCTCCGTCCTTCTCCGCCACGCGATAGCAACAATTGCTTTTGATTTTGATGTTTGCGTCATCAGATGCTTGCTCGCCCCCTTGGCCTTGACGCATAAAACTACGCCATTGCAACGAGCGCGCATTTGACGTACACGCTATCAAGCGCATAGCGGAAAAGGGAGATATCGCGCGCGGGTGATGCGTCCGCGAATCTGACGACCGCCGCTGAGGTGCCGCCACTTGGCTCTTTGCCCACCATACAGCGTGAGCTTTACTGCTTCGTCGCCGCTCGCGCATTCCAGCTCATATTGCTAGCCAGTGTACTTATCTTCAGGTTGTACGATTTGTCCTACTGCTACCCGTCTCGGAGAATGGCACAAAGCACTGGTTCAACAACACGCAGTCATTTATGATGGAGTTTTTTAGATCGTCATCACCGTCCCGCAACGGCCCTCTGCGACCCGCAACAATGCCCGGCTTTCTACAGTTAACGCTATCGGCGCGCAGACGCTGCAGAAAGTTGCTGTTGTTGATTTTTATTTGCATCAAATACAGCGTGCATGATACTGGAGGCTTGTGGAAAAAGCGGTCACAAGACCAGCTTGACAAAGCCACAGGGCCCCACATTGGCATTTGCAGCACTAAAAAGAAAATAATAAACATACCATTCAGACTACAGCATTAACAGAAGAAGTTAGTAGGGAGTTTTCGTAGACCGCGTTTCCCCCTCCGCTAAGTCCTCCCCAACGAAGCAGCCGCTACTGCGCCGGCGCGCCGATGGGCTTGGCTGTAGAGTTCCGGCTAGCGTAGCTGGTTGCGGAGAGCGTTGCGGGACAGCGGAAACGATCTACGAAAACTCCCTAGTAACTTCGTTGCTAAGGTCTTAGCGGAAGGGAAAACGCAGTCTATGAAAACTCCCTATTCGCTCTCATCGACACGCGTCAAAAGCTCAAACGCCCTCGCGCTTACGGTGCGAAGGCCTTATCAGCAGCGGAGCACCACTCGCGTGGCCAAATGAACTTGGCCCCCTTGCGGTAGAAATGACCACGAACAATTTGGCATGCGAGCAACCTGGTCCAACGCTATGGATCCCCAGTTTGCCCACAAGCTAAAGTTTTCAATAGCGGTAGTTTATGTTCACTTTCCTGGTCAGAAGTAGAAGTAGTCATCAAGAAAAGTGTATTCCTGAAATATATAGCTGAAACAAATTCACTTGATGAAAAAAATCTGGAACCCAATGATTTATAGCCTAATAGCATTGTGAGGCTTATTCAGTGTTGTCTGTATTTTAAGCAGGACAAAATAAATTAATCTGTCTATATGTTAGCAACAAGTGAATGCTTCTTGAGAAACTCCAGTCAACTCTCCTAATTGCGTCTATATCTGGAATCGGTAATTTCTGGTAAGCCACCCTAGGCGTTGGACTTTGCTTCTGTAAAGTAATAAAAAATCGCGAATGAGTGCAAACAAAAATCGATGCCAATAGGCAGCTGGCTCATGTTTTGGCGATAAGAAATTAACATATGTCTTATTAGCGGCATTGTTTATCATGATTCTTCTCACTACATTTTTGTATCGAACTTTATCTTACGCTTAGGTCAGCCTTCCCGATGTGTGAATGTTATAGGGTTGTAACTAAAACTGAAGGATCGTTCAAACACTGTTGTGTTCGAGTCCGACTGCAACAGCTTGTACCTCGTTAAGACTGATTGCGTGGAGCTGTTGCTATGGCGACACTTCCGACGAGCCAAAAAAAAAAAGGGGGGGGGGGGGGGGGGGGAGCGCTGTGCTCTACGACGCAACCCAGCACAATACAGTTGACGCAAATGTGTGAATCAGGATTAAGCGTTTTCTTCAGCTATAGAGCGGATTAGAATCGGAAACACTTCTTTCTTTAATATTTGCTTCAAAATAATAAACCTAGCTCTTATAAAGTTTTGACTTCTCTTTTAAAAATACATATTAGATTTCATGAAGTTTCTGTAGGTTTGTGTTCAAAGGCAAAAACAACATGCATTTTTTTTTGTCCAGTGATTTAGGCATACACGTTTTGTATAAGAAGTATGGTGGAATAGCTTATTTTGCTTCTCATAAAGTGTAGAGTGTTAGTAACTGGCCAAAGCAATGTAAAAGTTTCTAATCTAGAAGAAGAAAATAAATACGACATAAACACTTTTTTAGTAAAAGCGCTTGAAGAGTTATTTAAAATGTGCAAAATCATAATTAAGATATCGAAATTCTAAATAGATACCTGCCCTCTTCGTATTTTCAACATTATCTATAAAAGTTTAATTATGACGGAAACACTTAAAGTACCGGTAACTGGGGCTCAAGTTAAAACGACAACCCAAAGTTGCAAAAAAAAACAAAAAAAACATGCATTTCAAATTTCAAAAGATGTGTACTCTTCAGATATCGCGTAGAAATAATTGAAATTGGGACATAACATGAATAGAGAGTCCCATAATCATGCGGAGTCACTGGAGACCGTGAGTTCCTGTTTGTGGTGACTTACCTAGCCCATCTTGCGCCATGCCCCATCAAACACCATTCCTGCTATTCTTACGTCAGCCTTTCGATCTCCACAAGGTTCCAGCTGGCTGTTGTCACGGCAGGGGCATAAAAGTTCCTGCTCGGGGAGGTATTATGACCCATTGATGCTAGCAGGCTGAGAATCGCGCTCAAACGCGGAAGTTTACTGCTTTTGAGTTGACGGACGGCAAAACTCGAGCGAGCTCCCATTTTTGTAGCTTTGATTTGTACTCATGACTCCACATGTTTCTACGTAAACGTCGAAAGAAACCCACTCAAGGCATTCACTCTTCTCTAGGCCTATTTTGAAGGACGATGACTATCCCTTCAATTTCGGAGCCGCGCTCGTGACAAGCGGGGCAAATCGCATTACTCAGAAAGATCGCCAACGCGCCGATGTCGCACATCAATGTGCATTCAGAGCCATAGCCACTTGTTTTGTAAACGTTTTCGGAAAACACAAACAATCTGTTTTGAAACGCTGGCACATGTAAACAAAGCGTCGGAGCAGTCGCCATTGTCGTGGTTAGGTTTCGCGCGCAGCTGTAAACATTCCTCACTTGGCGTTCTCCGATTGCTTTGGCACCGCTTTTCTGAAAGGGAAGCTGAAGCGGTTTTGTATTTGAGAAAAAACACTTAAATCGTATTTTTTTTACCTCTATAATCTGCAACATCGACATTATTATTTTTTTATTTATTTGGTGCATGGAGGTTGTAGAAAATCATTTTCAAAGTACCGCTGAAGGCCCTCCTTCCGGGAGCGTGACGTCATAAAAGGAGTTTTTGGGATCTCCTCTCCCGTGCAGCTTTAGCGCCCATCAAAGCTATGCACGCGCACTCTTGATATTTAATGAAAATTCAGACAAAGACGTCTTGACTGGTTCCAGTGCGGGGAAATTGGCCTTGCAAGCTTTCAATTCTACGCGTGGTCCTGAGGAGCAACGCCGCCTGGCGTCCGAAATATCCCCTTATAACGTAACGAGTGACCGGAGATTTTTCTCGTTTTCTCCCAGTTAGTTACATCTTTGGGGAGAACGAACAAACTATTCAGATAGATTGGATAAAACAACGCTAGAATCAACCCTTATCTCTATTTGTGAAAGAAGTGTTTTAGCTTTCCTTTAAAACTTGCGTAATTGTTTTGAAAGTACCGAACACGAAAGTTTTAGTTTATAGTGTTTTCTACAAACCCAACTGGAAAAACGTAAAAATTTCCGCTGTACCGACTGAAAACCTGTCAGAGGTAGCCGATACTCACGTAAACTTGCGATGTTTTGAGCCACCGCCAGTGAGTCAAACACGTTATTTTTTTTATTCCTCGTCCAAAGTTTGTTTTCGATTTTTTACTCGTCGATGTAGGATGGCTGAAAGTAATACATAAAATAAATGAAAATCCTGCGTACAATTTATTTTTCAACCCGAATTTCCCCTGAAGTCAACATTTGATTATTCAAATACTCAAGTAGTATAGATTAACATTATGCTTCTTAATTCACCTAACCGAATTTTGTTTTTGTTTTGTTTGCAGGTTACTTTCGAGATTATCATGGGAAGTACGACGCCATGTATCGGGTACTTGCTGGACTTCTTTTGCTCGTCAGTCTGATGTGGTTTGTAGCAGTTTATCTTGAAAAGCCAGCACCTGGAAGCCACGAAGACCAGAGGAAGCCGCATCCAGTGAATATAAAAGAAGTTTAAATATTTGCTACCTATAAAGCGAACATTGATTGTGTTGCTTCTACTGCTCTTTATTTATCTTTCTTTCTGCCTCTTTCTTGCACTGCTTATCCGAGCAAGAGGAAAGAGCGAAGCAGAATATTGTACCTTGTAGACAGTTCTAAAATTATCAATCCCTGGGATTAAGGCACATCCTGAAGCATTGCTTTTAAGCACATAAGGTATGCACAATAATTTCTGCTGGGCGACCAGCTTCCTCCTCCCGTATACGACAGGCGTCAATAATAAAGGCATAGCATTCAGAAACATAAATTTCAAGTTCCTTGGTTATTGGTTAAAGGAAATGTGGAGGCCCGAAGTGGGAACCCGTTCTAAGAGGCAGTACGCTGAATATAGAGTTAGTATACTAAAGGTATATGTATAATAAAACAGCCAATTGAAAGTATATTTTGAATGTACGAAAGGCGTACTTGTATGAAATACTGAAATTAGATTTGTCAATACAAAACCAATAGACGTACTTGAGCATATTTTAGTAGTAACAAGACTTTACTATCAATGTACTAAAATGAAGTATTCAAGTATATTTGTAGCATGCATTTTGTAAGTATACTATAATAGAACTTTAAGCGCACTGCAATACTCTCTTTTCAAAACTCCATCAAGCAACATTGGTGGCCACCATTGGTTGGACACGAAGCGCGTGATTGGATCCGAGTCCTTGCCGAACGCAGACACAACGCTCGTTTTCAAACGAGCTGAGCCGAATTCAAGCGTTTTTTTAACAGTCATGAAGTACTTGTACCAACAGATCGCAAAGCCGGCATTAGAAAACGCGAGACACCGGGTAAAACAAAAGGCGAGAAAAAAAGTTAGAAACGGAGTTTATAAAACAACTCCTTCGCAATTTACGGATATCGAAATATTTATCCCATGTGATAACAAAGAAGATAGGCATGAACGTATCCAAATGGTTAATAACGTTCGGCTTTCACAAATATATTTTGATTGGTCCCCCCCCCCCCCCTCCCCCTTGAAGCTGGAGCAATATTAATTTTCCATCCTGTCGCCCTTGTTTCCTTTCTCCATGGATTATTATCGTCATTCTTGTCCAGCTCGCCTGCACTTTTGGATTAATTGCATTTTCATCCTAACCTTAAAATACAGGCCATTTCCCCTTGTTGGTGTTAGACTGGTGGCAGTTGATAAAATCCGTTTGCTCTACAGACGTCTAACACCTGGTTGGATCAGTTAGTAGAGCTCTCCACTAGAAACATAGAGGTCCATGGTTCAATACCGGGAACAGGAGGATTTTTTCGGTTGCGCACAAGTCACCTAGTTGTGCTTAGAGATGTGTGTTTCTCCTTTGTTTCCCCTGATCCTTCTCCAGGGATTATCATCGTCATTCTTGTCCAGCTCGCTTGTATCATTGCATAATTTGCATTGTCAAGTGTAAGCTTGTTGCTTTCATATCAGCCCCCGCAGTGGGCGCCTACACTTCAGGTGTGAGGTGCTTGGTGAGCGGTGTCACCACGGACCCGACCACGTGCCCACACGCAGGGGGCACTTGCTTTTCATAGGTGCTTGGTGAGTGGCGCCATCACGAACCCCGAGCCACATGGGTTGGCCCACTCACGCCTGGCTGTGCGTGACTAAACCCGTGTCCGGGGAAAAGGAAATACGGGTGGTTCATTTATCTCGGGGTATGTTTGAACCCTTCGGAGCCCTCCGACGAGGCAATATACTACTTCGGCCCCTGCTTCCCGTAGGTTCGTGTCCTGGCTCGGCCCGACCAGGATGATTCAGTCAGTCGCATTTTTCTCCTCTCCTGCCTTTGCCTTTTGTCTCTTTCTACCCTTCTTTCCTCTTTCACCTTCCTTAGTGGCACGGGCTAACCTTGGGTTGTTACACATATCCTCATCCAGAACCACACTTTGTTATAGTTTCCCGGCAGCGCAGTGAGTGCAACATTTCCATCGAAGCCCTTTTGTCATGGTGCGTTATTTAACCTTTTGCTGTGCTCCGTGGTGGACTGTGAACTGCGGATTTCGGACGAATTTTGCCACCTTTATGGCTCTTCATTTTTCTAAACCCAGCTCACGGTAGTCCTGGAAAGGGCGTTGTCTTGAGCACAAAACCCTCGAAAAAAGACTCTCCTGTGTAAAATTCACCACTGTTATGGTTCTTAGTGACGGGGACTAAACTTCGCTATGGTTAATGATTAAATTACACAGTGGGAATTAATCTCACGAAAAGAAGACGAAGCCATTTACCAGGAAAGACAAAAACCACTCCATTAAAAATAACAAGACAACAATAATTCGGATATACAGGAAATGGCCTAGATAAGATACGTTGTACTGCGCTAATCATTAAATTGTCCCTTAATGCAAAATTATCGCTTGCGGTGTCACCATCGTTCCAACACACCGTTGGGAAAAGCACCCGAAGCGCAATTTATAAAAGATTTCACCGGTTCGTGGCGACGCGGCCGGTGGCGTGAAAGTCCTGGGTCAGTGGAGTGTCGTGGGCGTAGTAACCTCTCGAAAGATGCTTCGGCTTCAGCGTTCCAGGACTGGAGTCTTCTTGAAGGGCCAACATGGTGACCGTGGAGAGGTTATGACCGCCACCGCGGTCGGAGATAGTTGTCGGGCGACGGCAGGAGGACTTGGTGAAGGTCTGGAGCGAACCTCGGGTCTGGACGCCTGACGGGTTCACCTCCGCGCCGGAATCCTTCTGGTCACCGATGTCTTGTTTTAACCGCCATGACCACCGGTTCTCCGAACGCCGCTCTGCCAACCAACACTGGCCGTCGTCTTCCCACGCTCTTCTTCTTCCATATCCCACTGCCCGGGCCACGGGCTCGCGTTGCACGAATTCCGGCGCGTCAATTAAAAAATACGACCCGGTGTCCTTCGAACACATCAGAAGAGTCCCCAATTACGAGTCTTTTTTTTAAACTATGTTAGGTACGCGAAGATTACACGTATTAATAAACGTCCACAAACAACACTTGAAGGACAAATATTTCAGACCGAATGAATTCATCACCGAACATAAACCACACTTTATCTAAAATAGACTAGGCGGCTCATGTAACCCGCACCTACGTTCTCGGAGCCTCTGATATGTTCAACACGAAAACACAATTTCTTTTCAAGGCCAGGCTACACATCCTTTGCAGCGTACGTCCTCATTCTAAGATACCAGATATTGCGCTTAAGTTACTCGTCGCAGAACTTTCACTTGACGCGAAACCTTCGCTCAATTTTCCGCACATCTAAGACACGATTGGTAGCCGAACCAAATATTCACGGAATGCGGGCCAAAACACAAGCAAAATAGGTGAATTAATTCTTACTTCCCACGTCAAAAATCGTCGTAAGGTGCCCTTCTCCCGCTGCAAGGTCGCTTCCTTCACAGATGGCTGACCGACTCCTCGGTCTGCGGCGGGAACTTTTCCTCGCAAATTTCTTTCTTCTCCGAGGACTGCATGAAATCAGCCCTTCCGTTCGCGGACGCATCGAGCTCTTCTTTTCTTTTTTTTTAATCTTTTTCAGAGCGCTTCCAACGCTTTTTGCCAAAAAGCGTTCGCTGCTCAACTCCTGGTTACGTCCGGCGGACGCCCTCGAAGGCGACGCCGACGTCGACCTAGGTCTCGGCTTGCGCCACGAGCCCGGCGCGGTCCTGGGCTCCTGCTCGAAGTCAAACCTCTGTGGATCACTCCTAGACCTTCCGCCACGCCTGCGGAAGTACCTCCCGTACAAGCGTTGGTGGGGCCTCCGCTGGACTCTGGTTTCCTCGTATTCGGCCTCCTCTTCAAACTGGAAGTGGGGTTTCATGTCTTCCGCGGGTAGCGAGCTCCTGGTCATACCTCTGGTACGGCGGTAGTGGCGGCGTAAACAGGATCTCCCAGGCTGCAGCCATCGCTGCGGTGGCGATTGCGGCCGCGGCGAGTCCAGCACGAGCACAACGTCATTGAAGTCGTTCGAGCCCTGCACACCGTGGCGCGGGTTAGGCCTCGGTAGGCGTTGACTCCGTCTCGGGGACCAGCGACCTCTGAAGCGTCTTCTGCCCGTGGCGTAAGAGAAGCACTGCACGGGCTCGCCGTCGGGACCTGTCACATTGGCGGCTTCGCGTTCCTTCTCGCTTAGGACGACGTCAAACTCGACGGTCTCACCCTCGTGAACGCTGCGTGTTAGCTTTTGCGGGGTGGTTCCGCGTGATGGCGGTCTGGTGGACGGAGATGTATTCTCGCGTGTCGTTGCGGTTGATGAAGCCCTAGCCCTCCTTTACGTTCAACCACTGGACAGTGCCCAGCACCCGCTCGGCGAGCACGGGTTTCTCCGTTGTCACCTGCATGGCGCCCATGGCGACGGTTGGCGCTTTTCGGCGTGTTGCCCAGTAACACTTGCTCCGGCCAGACTCGAGGTCGGTGCGAGATGCTCTGGCTTCTCGTCATTCATGGGATTTGCTCCCCGAGTTTTAGAGGCCCCCGCCGGCCTTTTCCAATGAATATCGGGAGAGGAGACGTCACGCGAGCGGTGAAAATTGCCGACTATTACATCATAAAGGGGAGCAGCCAGGCACTTACTTGTCCACTGCGGTCCCCGTGAAATTATGGGAGATGATATCCACTTGCGCCTCGGGAACTTCAGTGCTACGGCCCTCTATTAACCGTAACGTGGATGTGATCCCCGTGTGTGCTGCCTCCGGGACGAGCAACCGGCGCACCACCATGGTGTTGCTACCGGTGTCCCTTAAGACGGAGACAGCCTGGCCGTCAAGTGTAACTTTTAACACAGGCATGACATACGTCGCATTTGGCCCCCGTCGGTCTACGTTGTTACCGTTCCTACCACCCTCTTCTATTTTAAGATTAGGTTCCGAGGCCTGATACGAATGTTTGTGTTTTTTTTTATGTTCCCTAGAGACATACAATAGGAAGCTTCCTTCGAGTCGCTGCCCCTTGTGCAGGTCTTAACATCGTGACGTGTTCGACGGCAGTACATGCAGTAGAG